ATGAAGATTGAAAACGATTTGATTGTAGATAAAGTAGATAAAGCTTACTGACTTGTTTGTTTTCGTTGTGCTTTGACTAGATGAAAGACCCACGATTGTTGTTTTTCTACGAAATAAGTATCTTTCGAGACATTTAAATGATTGTTCTTCTGTGACATTGATGGCAATTCATTTTAGAATTGTTTTTATAACAGAAATATCTGTTTTCTGGTGTAAAAAACACACATTTTTGACAATTTGATTCCATGTGCTTTGCTTGCTTCAGTTGGACCAATCGATAGTCCAATCGATATTCGCGCGCTGTTTACAGTTTGCTTTTCCGATGTAGGAAAAAGTCATATAATAAAAGTGTTATTAACCTCGTTTGCTCGGTCTGTACGGAAAAATATTTTTCTGTACAGACCTCGCGCTCGGTTAATAACCCTTTAGTATTACCTGTGATTAATCTCAAAATGCCGACATGCCCTTAGAGATTTCCTTGATATAAATACGATATGTGTAAAAATGTTCATTGTAGCCTGATGATTGTGTAACAACATGAAACTTATAGTCGCGTCTTTGATTCCTTTAACTCATACGAAATCTAACCTGATATATATATTAGACATAGACGGAAAGAAATAGAAAAAATAATAATAATTACCGGGGATGCTCATAGGATCTCTTAAGGGTTTGGGATTTCTGGATATTTGCTTTTTCTGCATCTCTTAAGATGTCGAAAAAGAAGAGAAAGTGCGCATTGATATTGATTTTCCTCTGCGTTTTTTATCATTGGAACTGATTTAATTTAACAATATTTGTTCAGCAATCTCTTAGGGTTTGAAAAGCAGTCAGACACGCTTTTTTCAAGACTCCCGGGATCTTTTAGGGGTCTTTTTGAAAGTTTCCAACGAGATTAATGTCGCTTATGGAGATCCGGCGTATTTCAAATCAAAATTGTAAATTGATCATTATACTCTTTTTTTCAATGTACAGCAAACGCACCAGACCTCCTCCACATTCAAGTGGGCTGCATACATATACGAAAATGGTACTTGGAATACTCCAAGAAAAGGAAGTAATCAGCATTGATAAGGTACAAATTGCTAAGTTTTTAAGACTGATAATAATCTCTTCTTCCTGATTACGTACATAAACAATCGTAGGCATGTCATTATTTCAAGAGATTTTGTATGACTGTTAAAACAGACGCAACAAGTTGAGTTAAAAGCAAATGAGCCCGGACAAGTGACGCGCGATAGCTCGACTATACCGACCTACGACCTCCAAAAAAAAATCGTTTTGGCATCTCACTTGAAATAAACATATGACCTTGAAAAAATATAAATAGTCAATCAATGTTTGGTATAAACTTAGATCTATAAAAAGCACCCTCCCTAATACATATACCAAACGGAAATCTGACAACACGTAGTTGAAGACATAGTTAAAGTGCGYGTACGATGAAAAGCGAACATCGAATTTGAGCTGTTTCTGTACATATACCTCTTTATGGAGATCCAAATAAATATTTCTGAGAATTTTTTTAACGATACATCATTGATAAGCAGGAAAAATGGAGCTTTGAAAGTCGTTTTTTCCTATCCGCCATTAATCTGAGCCGAAGTGACATCGGTTGGCAGTTTTACCCAAACGTGAAGCATATGACGTCATATGCTTAACCCAGGAACGAGGTTGTCCTTTAGACATACAAAACTAAAGGGAAATTAAGGTTTGAATCGTATTAAATGATGAGGAAACAAARTCAGGAGCATCGTGCCAAACGTTTTGTTTTGTCTCTGAGACTTTCCGAGTTCAAATGCAATCGTTGAAAAAAATTGCAAGTTATACATTTCGGCCTATAACAAACACACTATCCAGCCGCTCTTCGAAGACATATCATTGAGATGGGGAGCACACGGCCGGTTCATTTCATAGATTTGCAGACATCCTGAAGTTTGTCATAAAAGTAAGTTTTTATTTTATTTGGAGTCTTCATAAGTTAAGTATGTTGTAATATCCTTTCTTAGATACATATCTATTTAAATTTTACGGAGTGTCTAAACGTCAGGCAGCCTTACGTTTAGTCCCTAATTTTTTCTTATAAAATAGTCGTAACAACCGTAATTTCAATTAATACAACAAGGGAAATGCAATAAAGACCGAAATAATACTGTTCGACAAGTTTCACACACAAGCACAGCATTTTGAGATTTTTCGACTGCCCGACGTTTAGCCCCAGAACTAAACGTCAGGCTGTCGATGCTTTTTTGGAAAAATCGTCGGTTCAACCGTAATTTCAATAATACAACAAGGGAATGCACTAAAGACCGAAATAATGCTATTCGACAAGTTTGTATAGTCACAAGATCCGGTCACAAGCACGACACTTTGAGATATTTCGACTGCCTGACGTTTAGTCCCAGAACTAAACGTCAGGCTGTCGACTTTTTTGTGAAAAGTCGTCGGAACAACTGTATTTCAATTAATAGCACAAGAGAAATGGAATAAAGACCGAAATCAGTTAGGGTCTTGTCAAAAGTTAGCAGGGGATGGGAGTTGGAAATTGAAAAGTGGGTACTGGGAATAGGGTGACCAGTCATAGTGGGGAAGTGAAATTTTCTAACCATACTGTGATATGCAAAATATCGTGACCTTCMCCGTCCCCCTTCAACCATTTACCAAAAAAAGTTTTCATTGTCTACAAGCATCCAGTGAATGGTGCAGGGCCTTCATTTTGAAGGAATAAGGATTAGGATATTTGGTAGGCAGTTGATTAAGACATTTGATTCATCTGTTCTAAGTATTGCTCACTTTATATATTTGATATACTTTGTTTGTGTTAGAGTTGTTGTGGCTATTGAACGAAATAAAACATTTATATTTATCTATTTATACTGTGAACCAATTATTATTATTTTTAACTGCCTATCAAATATCCTAATAATTATCACTTCAAAATGAAGAAACAATGGACTAATTATAGTCCCTGCACTATCTTTCACCGGCTGGATGTGAACTGGGACTAAACGTCAGGCAGTCGAAAAATCTCAAAATGCCGTGCTTCCTCTGCGTTTGAAACTTGTCGAACAGTATTATTTCGGTCTTTAGTGCATTCCCCTTTTTGTATTAATTGAAATTGGGTTATTCCGACGATTTTTCACAAAAAATTACCTGCCTGATCTAGCACATAGCCTGGTCACGTGACCTTGTTATTTACTATGGCTCTCTAGGGACT